CTCTGTCAAATAAATAAATAAAATCTTTTAAAAAATTTAAAAAATAAATAAATAAATAAAATGAGCCTTAAATTTCTTTGCTTAAAGGTTTTGAGTTATTTTCCCCCTTTTCCTGATTATAAATTAATGGATGAAAACAATTAACTATTTTTAAACTATATATATATACACAACTGCATATAAAAGTAAAAGAGAAAGTAAAGAGAAGCTGAAAAAAGAAACGTAAAGAGAAGCTTAAAAAAGCACTCATATTCCTACCACTAAGGGACAATCTAACATATTAGACATATTTATTTTTCATTTTTTTGGCATTGTTGAACTAATTTTATACTTTATATAATTTGATATCCTGCATTTTCCACTTCGCACATTATAAGCACTTCATTTAATATAGTTTCATAAATGAACATATAAATAATATTATATGAGAATATTTAATTAACCATTTCCCCATCGTTGGATTTTTAGGGTGTTTCCAATTTTCTATTGCAAATCACATTTTCTGAGTTTCAGAAACATACATATATATGTTTATATATATGTATGAGCTCACAAAAAAATTGAAATGTGTGTGGGGGTGGGTGCCTTTAGGTGTGGGATTGTTGGGATGGGGCAAGTATTTGCATGTTTATGTTACATATTTTATGCTATATATTTCCTTTTTTTAAATTTATTTGTCAGAGACAGAGAGAGAGCACAGCAGGGGGAGCGGCAGGCAGAGGGAGAAGCAGACTCCCCACTGAGCAGGGAGCCCGAAGCGGAACTCGATCCCAGGACCCTGGGATCATGACCTGAGCCGAAGGCAGACGCTCAACCAATTGAGCCACCCAGGCGCCCCTTTATGCTATGTATTTATTTACTGTTTAAATCCTTTATAGCAAGCAAGGATGACTTTTGTAATTAAATGTTTTTTAAAAATGAAGCAGAAGAGGGAGGAAGGGAGGGAAGAGTGAGAGAGGGAGGAAAGAAGGAAGTGAGGGAAGAAGGAAGGAAGGGAAGGAGGGTGGGTAAGGAAGGGAGGGAGGAAAGAGGAAAAGAAAATAAATCTCTGTACCACTTTCATTTGTAAAGAGCCTAGAAGATCAAGAGCCACAAGAAGCGATTGCTCCCTACCCTACGACCCAGCAATTGCACTACTGGGTTTTTACCCCAAAGATACAAATGTAGTGACCCAAAGGGGCACCTGCACCCCAGTGTTTATAGCAGCAATATCCACAATAGCCAAACTATGGAAAGAGCACAGATGTCCATCAACAGATGAATGGATAAAGAAGATGTGGTATATACATACAATGGAATATTATGCAGCCCTCAAAAAATGAAATCTTGCCATTTGCAATGACGTGGATGGAACTAGAGGGTATTATACTAAGCAAAGTAAGTCAATCAGAGAAAGACAATTATCATATGATCTCACTCATATGTGGAATTTGAGAAGGCAGAGGATCATAGGGGAAGGGAGGGAAAAATGAAACAAGACGAAACCAGAGAGGGAGACAAGCCATAGGAGACTCTTAATCTCAGGAAACAAACTGAGGGTTGCTGGAATGGAGGGGGGTGGGAGGGATGGGGTGGCTGGGTGATGGACATTGGGGAGGGTATGTGCTATGGTGAGCGCTGTGAATTGTGTAAGACTGATGAATCACAGTCCTGTACCCCTGAAACAAATAATACATTATATGTTAATAAAAAAATATGTATCTATCTATATATAAAAGCGGCAATTACTCCCTTAAATCTTTTGTAGAACAAAGACAAGTACAAACCCATAAATAAGAAAGTCGGTATATTTGGGATTTAATTTCTCTGTGCAAAAAGGGAGAGAGCAAGCTGCAAACCATCCCAGCCCAACTTACTGATTGATTTTGGATTCTGTGATGTTTCCATCTCTGTCTCTCAATTTGATTGTAATGGACCCTCTTCTTATGCTCTTGTTCCAAGTTATAATATCCACAAAGTAATGATATACTGCAAAACAAGGAGAGAGCACAGTAAGAGAGGGACACTCTCAACTGCTCCCCTGAAAGGTCAATTCCTAGAAACCCAACCTCCCTCATAACTTGAGTCTCTTGTTCTCTTCCTCCCTAGTTTCTCTGCAAAGATCCAGGGCAGCATTTTCTAATATTCCTTTCCATTCTTTTTGGTAAAGATGGCCTGGGTGATGGCAGGATTCAGCGGTCTCCAGTTGTCATGTTTAGGCATCACAGTTGGACTGGTGTTCCCACTTTACTGACTGAGGTATCATGGTCTACTGCTGAATATGATTGGTTCACCACAATCCCTGCCCTTTTAGACAAAACCAACCAGGCGGCCATGTAGAGACTCTCCAGAGCTGATAAGGTCTTCCGTAATCTGGGCCATGCCCACCAGCGCCCCTCATGTCTTCCCCAGTCATGCCATATCTAACCTGCACTGCCAGGCTGTCTCTTGCTCCTGGGCCTTCTCCCCACTTGGACACTCTGACTTTGCCCCCTTTGCCAGCTCATCCTTCAAGTTTTGGCTTAATGTCACTTCCTCCAGGAGGCCTTCACTGACCCTCAGACTAAGTCAGGTTTCCCTCTTAGAATTCTTATCATGCTCGGGTATTCTCCCATCATTAGTCAGCACACTTACCTATATTTACAAAATGCAAGAGAAAAAAGTGATAATCAAAAAAGTGGTAAATATATGGGTGTATCTAAGCAAACATTGCCTGAGTAATGTCTTATGCAGTTAAAAAAAATAAAGCTGAAATATACTACAGGAGTAGCTGGGAAGGGATGCCTCTTTATAACTCTGGCAGTGGTACCATATGGGCTTGGTGTGTTCCTACTGAACCAGTGAGAGTGCATGATGTGTTCAGAGAATTATTCTTCCTCCCCACTCTTTGCTTCCCAAGGTCAATGATGCTTTGGGAAGATGGGGATCCCACCATGATAGCCAGATTGGCTATCTCTTGATCAGACTTGCAAAGAAGAGGACAGAGGCTCAGGGAGATGTTGGTCCCATGAAGGAATAAGGTTAGCCCTAGAGTTGCCATTTCATGGCCCCTTATTACTCGGGCACTTGCCTCACTTGGACCGGGCAGACAGCAAACCCTGGGCTGCCACGCATAGCTCCAAAGGAGGAGGGAAACCCACTGATCTGCAACCTCTTTTATTAGGGTTGCTCCTAAGAAAAGTGAAAAGGGGAACAAGATTGCAAGATGTGCCCAGGAAAATCCCTACTTGATTCCCAGGGCATCTAATCATCTGCTGCCCCATTTAGCCCCCATCTGGAATACCCAAGCCCTCAATGTCTTTAGAAGGTCATCACAGTTGCTCTGGAGCTGGAACTGACCCAGAGATGTGGCTGAAACCTGATTTTACCTAGCTGCGATCTCAGGTCTTTGGGGAGTTAAGCAAATTTTCTGGAAGATCTTAGTGATTAGAATGGCTCACAGGGGACACCTGGCTGGCTCAGTCAGTAGACCATGCAATTCTTGATCTTGGGGTCATGAGTTCAAGCTCCACATGAGGTATAGAGTTTACTTTAAATATATATATTTTTTATAAATATACATATATTTATATAAAAAAAAATAACCATCCAGTGAAGCTAACAATCATGATTTGTTGAGATTTAATCCCTGTACCCCAGAAGATAGGCATTGTTATCCCTATTTCACCTAGCAGGACACTGAGACTCAGAGAGGTTAAATGTCTTGACCAAGGTCACAGAGCTACTATGTGTTGGAGTCAGGACTCGACCCAAGTCCTTCCAGCTCCAAAGTCCACACTCCACCATGGCCTTCATTTGACAGAGAGAGACACAGCAAGATAGGGAACACAAGCACGGGGAGTGGGAGAGGGAGAAGCAGGCCAAGAGGTTGCCAAGAGGTAGCTCAGCCATTTAAAAAAAAAAGGAGGGAGTTGGGCCAAAGCAAACAACCACATCCACCACTCACTGCAGTATGGTTCCTCCTCAGCTGTGTCAAAGAACGCTTTAGTCATAGGAGGGTCTTTCTGCTTTAAATACTCTTTCCAATTATCAGCATAATAGCCTGTAAAGCAAGTTGGAAAAATGTAACATTAACATGTATTATGTAAGTGTCAAAGTAGCTGGGAAGGTAGTGAGTGAAGTGAGTTTGACCGCCCACACCACCAAGACAACCTCCCTCTTCCACCCACCCCCTACGGGGAGGACCTCCAGAGTCATCAGCGCCTGCCTACCCTGCATCCACCATACCTTGCTTGCTACCCTATCCCTCAGAGCTGGGACTTGCAAAATGACCCCACAGTGGCTCTCCCCCATTTTTACTGACATTATATCACCCTGGTTCTTAGTAGCACACTAGTTCTCTCACACACTGGGTAGACTAAGAATAGCGCTGACATTTTTCAGGAATACATTCATTTTATAGATTAAAACAGATTCAGGTTTATACCTAAAACAGCATCACTCTTGCCAAGCATTGTGCTTTCTTGAAGAACTACAATGAGGCCCCTAAATTGCACAGAACCTGAGCTTGCCATGACTATGTCAACAAGCAGGGGACTCTTCTCCTTCATGTCTGCGCCTGCAGGAATGAGGCGGAGTGCTACCAGTGAGGTCTCTCTCTCTCTCCTGTCCCCACCCCTAGAGAATGGCCTTCACATGCTGACTTGACTGATCCAGAATGGGAACATGAGTAATTTTTAGAAGCTCCCCAGAGCTTTCCAATTAACTTAGGCACAATCTAGGTTGAAAACCCCTTGTGTCTAGCATGCCCTGATATTAACATGGGTTTTTCCTTTGAACAATTAGAAAATTCTCATGATCTTCCAGTTTCAAAGTCCTCACCGTCTGGAATATTGCTACCAATCCTTAGCAAATATGCAAGCAGCCTCCACAGTATATCTGTGACCCCCACTCCACCCTGCACACGCACATAAGAGTCAGGGTTCAGTGTGAGGGCATTTACAGACACAGTTTGTTGGAAGGAGTCATTTGACGGGAGAGTCTGTGCTCACTGTGACTCTCCCCCAGCGGAGAGGTTGCGTGCATGAAGAGGATGTTTCTGTCCCCAGGGGAGCTGGCTATGTGAGGTGACTATGCCCTGGGTGGGCTTGGAAACTCATTCGGAACCTTCTTTTTTATGCTAGCGTGTCCAGGGAGGTTGCACTGCCCTCTAGATGAAATCATATACAAATGGCTTTTCTAACACATGAGTAGGAGGTCCAAGAGGACTTCACCGAACAAATTGGCTGGAAAAAGCTAAGTACAATTTTCTTTAAACCACGTAACTTTCAGGCCCATTTTTGGAGAGTAAAATGGTGCTAGGATTCTCCCAAAAATGAACTCTTTGTGCATCAAAGGGGAAAACTGCTTGGACTTACCCAGGAGGGGACAGGACTCCTTTTGTGGTATACCGCAGTTGATACACTTGCCGTTTCTATAATCCCGGTAGGAGTCACAGGGATACGCGGTGATAAAACAGTTCTCTCTCAGAGAAGAAAGGTACAGGTACACAGACCTCTGGTGGTCACACTTAAAATACCGCAATCCTTGATTGTAAAAGGAAGGATCAAAGAGGAGAGCAGTTGCAGCATTTAACTATAGCGCATCACACGGTATCTACACACACGATTCATCATCTGTCTCCTATAGGCCAGGCACTGTGCCAACAGCTTCAATGTATTTTATTCCACTGAATCCTTATAAAAACCCATAGATCAGGATTCATGCTGGCACATGGCAGGATAAAAGAAGATAGACATGGTTATCCCCATTTTACGCAGCAGGACACTGAGACTCAGAGAGCTTAAATGACTTGACCAAGGTCACACAGGTATTATGTGGTAGAATCAGGATTCAACCTATGCCCTTCCTTTGTCATTGAAAAGGAAGAGAAAAATCCAATGATAGTTTCTCCAGAGATTTTCAGCAGAAGGCAAGCACATTGAAACTAGTGGACAGAGAAAGAAGGTATTGAGGATTACTCCCAAGGAGGGGAGGCAGAGGAGACAGCTTTTTAAAAGAATGGGGTATGCTTCCACCCTGGGGACACGAGGGAACAGGACACTCAAGACTGACCTTGTAAACTAAAATGAGGAGAGATAGAATGGCTCCCTCAGGTGAGATCTTAATCTAGGTAAAAAGGCACATTTAGGTCACCTTTAAGAGGTGAGGGTTTATAGGTAGGGAGATTTTCAGAATAGAAGCATGAGGGGTGATCATAGGGAGTCGGTAAGAGATAAACGTAAGGATTCTCTAGTTTTATTTTTTTTATTTTTAAAGATTTTATTTATTTATTTATTTGAGAGAGAGAGAATGAGAGACAGAGAGCACGAGAGGGAGGAGGGTCAGAGGGAGAAGCAGACTCCCCGCCGAGCAGGGAGCCCGATGTGGGACTCGATCCCGGGACTCCAGGATCATGACCTGAGCCGAAGGCAGTTGCTTAACCAACTGAGCCACCCAGGCGCCCACTTTTTTGTTTTTTTAAAGATTTTATTTATTTGACAGAGAGAGACACAGCAAGATAGGGAACACAAGCACGGGGAGTGGGAGAGGGAGAAGCAGGCTTCCCGCGGAGCAGGGAGCCTGATGCGGGGCTTGATCCCAGGACCCTGGGACCATGACCTGAGCTGAAGGCAGACGCTTAACGACTGAGCCACCCAGGCGCCCCAAGGATTCTCTAGTATTTTTGAGAACCATGGAAAAGTTAGCAAGTTTGCCTGGACCTTGTACTCAATTAACAAGGCTCCATGACAGCTCCAGAATGTTCTCACGCCAAGGTGGGGGCCGACCTGGCAGAGACCTAAGGGGTTCTCTAATGGGCTTACACAGGGCATTCATGAGAGAAGCCCAGAGGTAGGCGTTTCATTTCCGCTACAGGGTGAAGGGTGAAGTAAGAGGGAATGAACAATGGGAAGTGGCACTGCAAGCTATGAATGGGCAAGAAGAGGTGAGGCAAGCCTCCAGTTAATTCCTAGTGGGTGCCATGCAGTGCAATGGCGAGAGAGGAAAGCTGCGAGGTGAGGAGATGGCATCAGGAGGGTTGGACATGATGAAGCACCACAGCACACAGCACTGAAAGGTTGTTGGAAGGTGGATGGGTCCGATGATGAAGTAAGTCATTCAGAAAAGGGAGCAGGGTCCCAAAGATGGGTAAACAAAGGAGGTGAGGATCTGAGTAGGAAACAGTGAACCCCAGGAAAAGAGGAGTTATGATTATGAGTTCGTGGCTTGGAGAGGCATTGAGTGCTGGAATCAGACCCATGTTTCCTCTTCCCTCTGAGTCCACTTATGCCCATAGAGGAGATCAGTGAAGGACAGAAATAAACTGGGGCAAGAGAAGAGAAGCATGGGTTGGCATGGGGCCAAGCTGGACTGGACTAAATCTGACAGGTCAGTATTGACTTATTGTTCCTGGAACTTCCACTTGCAGAAGCAATGACATTGATAACAATACAGAGAATGTCCTCTATAAGCAAGGCACATTATCTTTGGCTCCTGAGAGGTAGTTACGCTACACCACAAGGACAGAATTTGAGCATGCACCATTTATGGTACAATATGGTAGACCCTACTTATGCCATTTCATCTGGATCATTTCCAAACACCATGTCATTCCCAAGGGGCTGTATACAACTACCATTTTGTAACAAGATCATCTTTTTCTAGAATCATATCCTTGATTATTTAACTTTCTCTAGCAATGGTGAAATACATATTCAGAGCACTTAAGGATGGGTTTTTTTAATTCTGTCCCCCACATTACTTTTATGTTGCCCTCTAACTACCCATTCTTTGTTTTGTGAGTTTTTTCTCATTATAAAATAACAAATGCTCATTTAGAAAATACAATAGGAAATGATGATGCAAAAATCACCTAGAAGTCCAATATCCACAGTTTACCACTAATAATTATTTGCAGCATTTATGTTTAGTCTTTTCTTCTATACTTAACCATGTACAAATACACATTTAAAAAAAGCAAATCGGTATCATACTGTATAGTTTTGTGTCTTTTGCACTTAATATCCTATTGTAAGCATTTTCATTAATCTGAAAATATGACTTTTTAACAATTATATTCCTTTATGTGGGCATACCATAGTTATTTAACCATTTTCCATGTTGGATATTTAAGACTATTTCTAAAAATTTAGCTATTATAAATAATGCGGTGTCAGGTATCTTTGCACTTTGATTTTTGTCTACCTTTTCCATTATTTCTCTAGGAGAGATTCCTAGATATGGAATTTCTAGATCAAGGACACACCTTTTCAAGAGAGAGAAATAATTCGTAATAGCTTTTAATCATATGGTTATGGTTATTTTTTAAAATTTATTTTTTAAACTAAGTATACTTAACATACAGTGTTATATTGGTTTCAGATGTACAATACAGTGATTCAGCAATTCTATACATTACTCAGTGCTCATCATGGTAAGTGTACTTTTAATCCCCTTGACCTATTTCACCTATCCCCCTACCCACCTCCTCTCTGGTAACCATCAGTTTGTTCTCTATAGTTAAGAGTCTGTTCTTCATCTCTTTTTTCTTTGTTCGTTTGTTTTGTTTCTTAAATTCCACATATGAGTGAAATCATGTGGTATTTGTCTTTCTCTGACTAATTTCACTTAGCATAATACCCTCTAGTTCCATTTATGTTGTGGCAAATGATCTGATGCATTCCTTTTTATGGCTGAGCAATATTACATTGTATAAATATACCACATCTTCTTTATCCATTCATCTATAGATGGATACTTGGGTTGCTTCCATATCTAGGCTATTGTAAATAATGCTGCAATGGGTCTTTTTTAAAGTAGTATATTTGAATAATAATTTTTAAGATATAATTTGTGTTTATACTATCTCTATCTTCTCAAATGATTTGTTTTCTATTAAAAACTATTATCCAGAGAATAAGATCAGATTTTTAAAATATGCCTTTTAAAACCACTACTATACAATAGATAAAGTATCTGCACTTACCTCCCAATATTGTTTTGGGACAACCGGGTTGATCCAATCCTCCATTTGGGTAGAAGTCTATGTTTCCTAATGGCTCCTTGTAGCCCAGTGCTAAAGGAGAATACATTAGGCTTTTATTTTTGAATTTTTCACATTGCATAGTTCACTTGCTCGAAGGATATAGGCAGGGATTGTGGTGGTGGTGGTGTTATCCTTATTTAAATATTCTGCCCAAAGTTACCTAGCTAATTAGTTAGAAAGAATTGTAGATTGATTTAATAATTGTTTATTCTCTTTAACCTTGTAACCCCAAAACCATCAGTAAAACGCTTGATTTAAATGATTATTTGTACACGTATACATATATAGTGCCTCACTGCAATAATAATAGCTATTACATATTGAGAACCTACATGTGTCTGTGGGCATGGTACTAGGTGTTATATATACCTGTCCTCTAATTTTCACCATGTCTAAAAAAGTAGCCATTGGTAAATTCAGATGAAGTAAGTTACAGATGATGACACCGAGGTTCAGAGATTTACTGAACAAAATGACACCACTAGAAAGGACAGAACCTGGGATGTGAGCCTCCCTCTGCCTGACTGCAAAGCTTATTCTCTTTCCTCAAAATTCACTCTCTCTCCAAGAATAAAAAATAAATCACTCCATTCCATCAAGCATTAAAATGGCATGGAGGTACTGCACTTAAGGAAGGTAATACTTTGCAAACCACATAGCATTAATGCAGCCATCTCACAGAGACATTTCCTCTAAGGCCAACAATTGCTGAATATCACACCGGAGAGCCTGTGATAGGTGGTCAAGGCTTTTTCTTTTTCTTTTTTTTTCAAAGATGGCAATTTCTTTCTTTCTTTCTTTCTTTTTTTTTTTTAAGATTTTATTTATTTATTTAGGGACAGGGTATGAGGGGCAGGGCAGGAGCAGAGCAGAGGGAGAAGGACAAGCAGACTCTGCACTGAGCATGGAGCCAGATGGGGGGCTTGATCCCCTGACCTGAGATCATGACCTGAGCTGAAATCAAGAGTCGGATGCTTAACAGACCGAGCCACCCAGGCGCCCCCGATTAAGAGTTTTTCAGGTGGTTGTATCACAAAGAGGGTGTATTATTAAAGACTACTCTGCTCTGTTCCCTCAACTCTCCCCAGGTTTCTACTCTGGCTCTTCTCCCAGACACCTGGATATAAAGACCCATCTTTAACATCACCCCAACCCCCATATCATGTACCCAACCCCTCATATAAAATCAGCCCCATAAAAGACATAAATGGCCAAGAAGAGCCACAGAGAGCTGGAGAGCTATAGATGGCTCAGAATTCTCTCCATAGAGACACAACACTTGAACATATCTTTCAGCTTACGAAAATAAAACATAAATCATACATCCAAAGCCCGCTGCATATATGGAAACATTTCTCCACATGGTGTGCAAATCAGCCTGCACTTGATTGGTCAAGATGATCACCTTAAAAATAAGAAATGTTGATGGGAAAAGCACCTCCGCTCCAGCAAGACATCTTGGATGCCTACATTAAACCAGTGTCCCTTCAGTATTTCGGTGGATTTGGAACCCTGCCCTGCAGGAAAAGAGGGAATCTGGAGGAACCTGATCCACCCCTGCATGATGATCCCCTCAGGGGGAGACTCTTTAGGAGCATGGGAGGGGGTACTCACTGACCCACAAGGACAGAACTGTTACCGTCAATGTCGGAATGGATGACGTCAACGAACTGTGCATCACCAGGATCTAATCTGTCCTCAGGAGGTCTCCCATTGAATAAAGGGCCCGCAGGGTCGAGACCTGGAAAGAAAACCGAGTTGGCTTGGCAGCCCCACGCCATGAGTCACTGGCAGCCCGGCTTTTGATCCCTCCGCATGAGGATGGCAAACTGGCTGCGGGGCACTCTCGGGTGGGCAAGCACTCACATTCCCATCTTGCTTTGTCAGGCACCTTTCCACAGCCCTGTAGCCTTTTCCCACAGAAGAGACGGCTATCCTGGCAGTGTCCCCTGGGAATGGCATCCAGACCCCATTAGGAGCTGTATCTGGTGCAGGGCTCAACAGCAGGGAGTGCACACAGGGGGACCAGGGCATGGGGATAAACTGGTTCCTCAGGAAAAAAGCGCCTGAGGGTACATATAAAAAGCAGATGCTATGCTTATGCTTATTGCATCTTAAATGATCCAGAAACCTCCCTTAACCTTTCCTTCTTGTTATTAATAAAACTCCTTTACAGTGTCAATTTTTATTCATATATACTTGCTCATATGATCCACATCACAAGCCTGTTGGGAGGCTGAGTAGCTATTATTCCCATTTTACAGATGCAGGAAGCGAGGTTCCGGGAGATCAAGTGTCTTAACAAGAGCCGCAGCCTCACAATGCAACGACCTCTCTCTGTCGAGCTCTTGGTTTCACTGCCAAACCCAGTGGAAAAGTGTGAAACTAACTGGTCAGGCCAGGTATCATGGAGGGAAATAAAGTGGGTGTCAGTTCTTGCAGAACTAACCCACCCCCTAAATGCCTGAGCTGATTTCTTGCCCTTGGTCAATGCGAGCTGGGCATTCCTAACCATCAGCTGGAAAAACAAAGAGTGCAGCTCTGGTGATGTAACCACAAACTAAAAACTTTAAAAACAACAGTCAACGACGAACCACCAGAGGTTCCCAAAGGCCCTGCTTACTAGCGACCTACCTGTAGTGAAGAAGGTTCCAAGGGATGTCTCAGAGTCCTGACTCTATGAAAGTCATTTTAAATGTCATCTTCCATCCCCTGGTGTTAGATATAAAATCCAAGAGATGGCATTCTTGCCTGACTTCCCTAGTTCTGGCTTCAATCTTTCTATTTCTCCTCTCCCAACTCTCTTGCTTCCTTGAGGCTTGTCTTGATCTGCCTCCCTTCTTTATCTTTCTCTTCCCCACCCCTCTAGCTTTTCTTCTTCGGTTTGCTCTCCACTGAAACTGATGTGGGTGGAGATGGACCAACACCCAGACACCCAGGTCCACAGGACATTCTCAACACAGCAAGAGAAACTCATGACCTTAGAAAGAGTTTGCTAAGGAAACCCCCCTCCCCCCATAAGATAGCAGCACTTTTGGTCTAAGAAAAGGAATAGTGAGAGCCCCAGTTTATAGCAGCCTCCAGATCCACCGCAGAGAAATCAGTTTGAATTAATGAACATTCAAACCACAGCAATTTTGAGAGTGATGAAGGTGCTACTGAGAATTAGGACAGAAGGCACAAATGGAGGCGGGGATAGGAAGTTTGGATATATCATCACCTTGGTGACAATTCATAGCAAATAATTGGCCTACAATGTCAGCCAAAAATCACAGTTACAGTGTCCTAAAAAGCTATATATTTTGTGTGGACAGAGACCACTGGAGTCAGAGAGATGTGACTTGGGGCCCCAAACCTAACACCAACCAGCTATATGACCTTAGGTGGGTTACTTTACTTCTCTGAACCTCAGTTTTTTTTTTTAATCTGTAAGGTAGAAATGGAGGTAGAATTAACAGCTACTTCAGAAGACTTATAAAAGGACTCCTGGATCTGAATCCAGAACATTTTGAGATGACTGTAGAATAGAAACACAGTGGGAAAATGGAGCTCTTTCTTATTGCTCAAAGATCACCAGAAGTGTCTAGATGGTGCTCATTGACTTTTATTACAGCATTAACCAATCTGAGAATTTGAAGAAAGCCCTACATCTCTCCCCAGACAGACAGACATCCAACATAAACCTCTCTGCAGACAGACAGACATCCAACATCGACCCCTCCGCAGACAGACATCTGATATTTTGTGCGCGGTTTCAGGGGCCTCCTTTTCCCATCCCCAACTTCACCGTGAACTCTCCAAGGCAATGCTGTCCAATAAAAGTATAATGTGAGCTACATATATAATTTTAAAATTTCTAGAAGCCAATTTAAAAAGTAAATAGAAATAAGAAGAATTAATTTAATAATACACTGTATTTAACCCTGTTTATTTAACCTGGTATATCCAGAATATTATCATTTCAACATGTAATCAATATAAAAAATTTGAGGTTTCTTAATATCACTTTTTTAACCTAGTCTTTGAAATCCAGTGTGTGTCTTGTACTGACAGAACATCTCAATTTGTATTAGCCACATTTCAAGTGCTCAGTGGCTACATGTAGCTAGTGGCTACTGGATTGGACAGCATAGCTCCAAGGTCATTTCTCAAAGTATGGTGTTCAGACCACCTGCATCTTCTGCTTAAAGGTAGACTCCTGGACCCCAACCCCAGACTGCTGGTTCAGGAGGTTGGTATTGTAACCAGCACCCCTAAGGGGATTTTGACACACCCTTAAGTTTGAGAAGCAAACGCAATGTATTATCAAGTGATGTAGGTACTTGGAATATTTTAAAATCCACTTAAGGTCCACCATCTTGTGTTAAAGAAGTTAATGAGAAATAGGGGACGCCTGGCTGGCTTGGTCAGTAGAGCACATGACTCTTAATCCCAGGGTCATGAGTTCAAGAGCCACGTTGGGCAGGGAGCCTATTCAAAATTAAAAACAACAACAACATTAAAAAGTTAATGAGAGGGGTGCCTGGGTGGCTCAGTCGTTAAACGTCTGCCTTCGGCTCAGGTCATGATCCCAGGGTCCTGGGA